ATACGCCAGTGAATACAATAGTTACTGTATACGCCAGTGAGTACCTAGTTACAGCTGTAGAAATAGGTCTTCTGTATACGCCAGTGAGTACCGAGTTACAGTGGTAGAAATACGTATGCTGTATACGCCAGTGAGTACCTAGTTTCAGTGGTAGAAATACGTCTGCTGAATACGCCAGTGAATACCTAGTTTCAGTGGGAGAAATACATCTCCTGTATATGCCAGTGAATACCGAGTTACAGTGGTAGAAATACACCTGCTGTATACGCCAGTGAATAGCTAGTTACAGTGGTAGAAATATATCTCCTGTATACGCCAGTGAGTACCTAGTTATAGTGGTAGAAATACATCTGCTATATACGCCAGTGAATACCTAGTTGCAGTGGTAGAAATACGTCTCCTGTATACGCCAGTGAGTAACTAGTTACAGTGGTAGAAATAGGTCTCCTGTATACGCCAGTGAATCCCTAGTTACAGTGGTAGAAAAACATATGCTGTATACGCCAGTGAATAGCTAGTTACAGTGGTAGAAAAATCTCTGCAGTATACGCCAGTGAATACAATAGTTCCAGTGGTACAAATGCCTCTCCTGTATATGCCAGTGACCTAGTTACAATGGTAGGAATACATCCCCTGCATATGTCAGTGAATATCTAGTTACAGTGGTAGAAATATATCTCCTGTATACGCCAGTGAGTAACTAGTTACAGTGGTAGAAATATATCTCCTGTATACGCCAGGGAGTACCTAGTTACAGTGGTATAAATACATCTCCTGTATATGCCAGTGAATACCAAGTTGCAGTGGTAGAAATACGTCTCCTGTATACGCCAGTGAGTACCTGGTTACAGTGGTAGAAATACGTATGCTGTATACGCCAGTGAGTACCGAGTTACAGTGGTAGAAATATCTCTGCAGGATACGCCAGTGAATACAATAGTTACAGTGGTAGAAATACTTCTGCTGTATACGCCAGTGGATCCCTAGTTACAGTGGAAGAAATACATCTCCTGAATATGCCAGAGAATACCTAGTTACAGTGGTAGACATACCTCTGCTGTATACGCCAGTGAGTACCTAGTTACAGCTGTAGGAATAGGTCTGCTGTATACGCCCGTGAATACCTAGTTACAGTGGTATAAATACTTCTGCTGTATACGCCAGTGAATTCCTAGTTACAGTGGTAGAAATATATCTCCTGTATACGCCAGTGCGTACCTAGTTACAGTGGTAGATATACGTCTCCTGTATACGCCAGTGAGTACCGAGTTACAGTGGTAGAAATACATTTCCTGTATATGTCAGTGAATACCTAGTTACGGTGGTAGAAATACACCTGCTGTATACGCCAGTGAATTCCTAGTTACAGTGGTAGAAAAGCATCTGCTGTATACGCCAGTGAATAGCTAGTTACAGTGGTAGAAAAACATCTGCTGTATACCCAGTGAATACCTAGTTACAGAGGTAGGAATACGTCTGCTGTATACGCCATTAAATACCTGGTTACAGTGGTAGAAATAGGTCTCCTGTATACGCCAGTGAGTAACTAGTTACAGTGGTAGAAATAGGTCTCCTGTATACGCCAGTGAGTAACTAGTTACAGTGGTAGAAATATATCTCCTGTATACGCCAGGGAGTACCTAGTTACAGTGGTAGATATACGTCTCCTGTATACGCCAGTGAGTAACTAGTTACAGTGGTAGAAATATATCTCCTGTATACGCCAGTGAGTACCTAGTTATAGTGGTAGAAATAGGTCTGCTGTATATGCCAGTGAGTACCTAGTTACAGCTGTAGAAATAGGTCTTCTGTATACGCCAGTGAGTACCTGGTTACAGTGGTAGAAATAGGTCTCCTGTATACGCCAGTGAGTAACTAGTTACAGTGGTAGAAATATGTCTACTAATATTACGTGTGCTAGTTACCTTTACGATGAGAAATACATCTCCTGTATACGCCAGTGAGTGCCTAGTTACAGTGGTAGAAATCAGTGGTAGAAATATCTCTGCAGGATACGCCAGTGAATACAATAGTTACGGGGGTAGAAATACATCTCCTGTATCCTCCAGTGAATACCTAGAAACAGCGGTAGAAATATGTCTGCTGTATATGCCAGTGAGTACCTAGTTACAGCTGTAGAAATAGGTCTTCTGTATACGCCAGTGAGTACCTAGTTGCAGTGGTAGAAATACGTCTCCTGTATACGCCAGTGAATCCCTAGTTACAGTGGTAGAAATATATCTCCTGTATACGCCAATGAGTACCTAGTTACAGTGGTATAAATACTTCTGCTGTATACGCCAGTGGATCCCTAGTTACAGTGGAAGAAATACGTCTGCTGTATACGGCAGTGAATACCTAGTTACGTTGGGAGAAATACGTCTGCTGTATACGCCATTAAATACCTGGTTACAGTGGTAGAAATACGTATGCTGTATACGCCAGTGAGTACGTAGTTACAGTGGTAGAAATACAGCTCCTGTATATGCCAGTGAATACCAAGTTGCAGTGGTAGAAATACGTCTCCTGTATACGCCAGTGAATCCCTAGTTACAGTGGTAGAAATCAGTGGTAGAAATATCTCTGCAGGATACGCCAGTGAATACAATAGTTACTGTATACGCCAGTGAGTACCTAGTTACGGTGGTAGAAATACGTCTGCTGAATACGCCAGTGAATACCTAGTTTCAGTGGGAGAAATACATCTCCTGTATACGCCAGTGAGTACCGAGTTACAGTGGTAGAAATACGTATGCTGTATACGCCAGTGAGTACCTAGTTACAGCTGTAGAAATAGGTCTTCTGTATACGCCAGTGAGTACCTAGTTACAGCTGTAGAAATAGGTCTTCTGTATACGCCAGTGAGTACCTAGTTATAGTGGTAGAAATACGTCTGCTATATACGCCAGTGAATACCTAGTTGCAGTGGTAGAAATACGTCTCCTGTATACGCCAGTGAGTAACTAGTTACAGTGGTAGAAATATATCTCCTGTATACGCCAGTGAGTACCTCGTTACAGTGGTAGAAATAGGTCTCCTGTATACGCCAGTGAATACCGAGTTACAGTGGTAGAAATACACCTGCTGTATACGCCAGTGAATTCCTAGTTACAGTGGTAGAAAAACATATGCTGTATACGCCAGTGAATAGCTAGTTACAGTGGTAGAAATATATCTCCTGTATACGCCAGAGAGTACCTAGTTACAGTGGTAGACATACGTCTGCTGTATACGCCAGCGAATACCTAGCTACAGTGGTAGAAATACATCTCCTATATATGCCAGTGAATACCAAGTTGCAGTGGTAGACATATGTCTGCTGTATACGCCAGTGAACACCTAGTTACAGTGGTAGAAATAGGTCTCCTGTATACGCCAGTGAGTGCCTAGTTACAGTGGTAGAAATGGGTCTGCTGTATACGCCAGTGAACACCTAGTTACAGTGGTAGAAATATATCTCCTGTATACGCCAGTGCGTACCTAGTTACAGTGGTAGACATACGTCTGCTGTATACGCCATTAAATACCTGGTTACAGTGGTAGAAATAGGTCTCCTGTATACGCCAGTGAGTAACTAGTTACAGTGGTAGAAATATATCTCCTGTATACGCCAGTAAGTACCTAGTTACAGTGGTAGATATACGTCTCCTGTATACGCCAGTGAATCCCTAGTTACAGTGGTAGAAAAATCTCTGCAGTATACGCCAGTGAATACAATAGTTCCAGTGGTACAAATGCCTCTCCTGTATATGCCAGTGACCTAGTTACAATGGTAGGAATACATCCCCTGCATATGTCAGTGAATATCTAGTTACAGTGGTAGAAATATATCTCCTGTATACGCCAGGGAGTACCTAGTTACAGTGGTATAAATACATCTCCTGTATATGCCAGTGAGTACCTAGTTACAATGGTAGAAGTATGTATGCTGTATACGCCAGTGAGTACCTAGTTACAGTGGTAGAAATATCTCTGCAGTATACGCCAGTGAATACAA